AAGTCCACACAAGTATAATACAGAGCCATATATAGGCGAAAACACTCCAAACCATTGTGACGAAGAAGACTCTGAGATGTTTGATCTTTTTGTATTGAGTGTTAGGCGTCGCACACCAGACGCAGATCGCGATTATGACAAACATGTTGAAAGCGGCCGAACCCACGATAGTTCCCGGACCCAACTCTCCCGCGTTGTAGTCCATGGCATACACTTCGATGATTGACAGCAGGATTTCGGGCGCAGAGGAGCCCAAAGCCATAAGCGTTAGGTTCGATACGGTTTCGTTCCAAATGCGGACACTTATCACTTGCGGCTCAGAGTTGGGCTTCTTTATAGTGACCTGTCTTTCCTGAGATGTGATCACTTCTATGGATGCCATGAACTTATCGGCGATTATAGAGACGCCGACAAACAAGTAGACGAGTCCCACGAAATATATCACTCCTCGAGCTATTTTGTCACCGAATGCTAAATTAGTTATCGGTTCCCAAACCGGTAATAACAGACCCGGAGTGCACTTCAAGCTATCGATGGCACTGGAAGTGTTGCCTCCGTTGCTATCACTGGCTCTAACGTCTAATAATAACATATTTAATATAGTAATCAACGACCAAAAGACTGCTGAAAATGATTGAGACATGAATGGGCTCGCAATGAGAGGCATTGCGAATGAATTGTACAAAAATGTGGTCTTTATTAGTGAATGGAGACAATAATTAGAGGGCAAAGAAGTGAAGATCTTTACTGGAGTTGCACTTCAATAGCCCATCACTTGACTGAATGAATGAATGTATTGAACGAATCACTACTGAATGCGAGAACTGCGAGAATTGAGTGCAGGACTGCTCTTTCACAGCAACACTACTGCAAGACATGAGTGGCATTAGTAAACAATAGCTGTGTTGGACGTGCCATCTCTTTCACAGCCATTCGGTGATTATATCGACGCCAATAAAAAGCCAATTCTTTAGCACAGAAACTGTTTTGCCATCAAAAGTAGTGTCAATGCATTCAATGCTTACAACACTCGCAGCACAAGAATAGCACAGAAGAGCACAGAATAGTACAGAATATAGCGATTATAATAGTGTCACTCATATGTTGACTGCATTTCACTCGCTTTTTCCGCTACTCTTCTCTCGCCTTTGCGTTACAATAAGTTTTCATAAAACAGTTATTAAAGTAAATACGAAGAAAAAAGTTTTCACTCCAATTGAATGGAAATAACGATTAGTATTAGATTCGGACTGTTGTGACACATCTGGAAAGTGTCATAAACTTATAATATCTACATAAAGATAATTATAAGGAATGAGAAAAGACTTTGATTGTGAGACTTATGCAAACAATCTGTATCTGTGCCATAGATTAAGTGTACCTCAAGTCCCATATAATCATTGGGAAGAGAATGTGTCGACGAGTGAACAAAAGCGCGCATTCGAGGCAATAGTCTATATATCACCGAATGGATGAGTATTTTAGGAAATGCTTTGAATGTCTGACAAAATGTGGTACTAAAGCAAAACAAGAGAAGCGATCCTTCAATTATGTGCTGAGAGTGCGTCAGCCCTACAGCCCTAACAGCACGTCATGTCTATATTCAGATGGCAAACCAAAAGGACATCTTCACTATTACTATCTCTCTTATCTAAATGTAAGACACTCTCAACACTTAAATATAATTATAACACAATTCCTGCAGTATTTCAATCAATTCATTGAATACAACGAAACATCAAAATATATATATCTTTTGGCAAAACATTCACTAGATTTGCATAACATTACGAAATATTTAATACTCTATTCATTCATCGATTCTACATTACATGCCATTCTATTAATCATATTCTATCACTAATCCCATACAGAATTACCAGAATTACTGTTAATTATTCAATAATCCAAATGTTTCTAATAGTATATTAATATTTTAGTTTCTTAATACCTATATTGTATACTTTGATATTTATATTTCTACATGAATTTAATTAAAAAATATATCAAAAACAGTTTAATTATGTAAAAATTCTAATATATAACACATTTAATTAATATTCAAAAACTATTCGTTTATTATATAACAAAGTTATGTTTTGTTATTTTTATATTATTTAAAATAGACTATTCATTAGTTTTTATGATGTAAGATAACATGTAATGAATGCAGAATTAATGCTTTTTTGCAACAAAAAAACATCTTCGTTAATAAAGTGAGCAAAAGATAAAGATTTTGTTGGGTTCTATCATACAATACAAAACACTCCCTATTGTATGCTTTAATTCAATGAACACTTTATACAACTAAACGCTAAATATATAATAATTTATTTTCAAATATATTTAATAAAGAGAATAGGTTTTGAAAAATTCATTGATTCTTAAGAAATTCGTTTAAAAAAAGGAGAACCTTTTAATAAAAACATTAATGTTTTGCTAATAAAATGTTTTTGCAGTAAAATATTAGGATAAGAATTGCATGGTTTGTATGCTATGAATATAATACATAAGTTGGCAAACGATTTGTACGTTTTGTTTTATATGATATACAGTATACCGACAAAAGTGTGGGTAAAGAATATTGAAGAATGGGAAACGTTTAAAAATAGTCACTCAATCCATCGCTTTTCTCTTGCAAGTTAGCATATATTTATTTCTGTTTACTGATAATGAACTCAAATATACAGTATATTAAATGTAAAGCATTTATAAATCAATATATTTTAAACCAATAAATTTGTCTGAATTTTCATTTTTATGATAATTTTTTGATTTATTTGTATAGAGACTCACAAATGACTAAAAAGTAATATTAATTTAATTATGTGAAAGTATGAAATTGTTTTTAACAAAATTAAAACAGCTTTCGTTGAAAGGTCTTCATTTTATATTTAAACAAAAATTAATATTTTAAATTTATGAACACTTTTTATAGTCATATATAAAACAATTTACCCATACTTTGAAAGGGATAGTGAAAATAATAATAATAAGAATAAAATGCAATGGCTTTTGGCTATTATACGCTCCAACTATTGCTGTATTATTTGAATTTATTGTTGAGAATTGAATCTAAAAACAAATCGATACGAGATTTTTTGTTCAAATAATTGAATTTTGAAAAATATAGGGATAAACGTCTGCCGACACAAGATTTATATGAGTATCGATTTCAACGAAAAAGAGATTTTAAAATTGTTTAATTATCTGTAGATTCTGTGCGACAAGAAAATATTTTTTCAATCAAAATTGTGTTGAAAATACTTTTTTAAAGATTGTATTATAACAATGTTAATACCATTATTGAATTTTATATTTAACATTTTTAAACCCATTGTTTGCTTATAAAAAAATTTTCATTCGTTTATAAAAAACCAATTTTAATCATTATTTGTAAATGATATGGAAAATAAAATTGTTATAAATCATTTTTATTTATTTTGTAAATCCATATTAATTCAAATATTTACGAACAACTCGTGAAAACATTTAAACGACATTTTAAATAGAAATCTTTTGTTTTTATATCCAAATCAAATAAAACTAATGGAATAATAAATGGTTAGAAAGTAGTCAATAAAATATTTATAAAACTATTGTATATCATATAAAATCAATGTTTTATTAGAATTGCAATTAACTTATAGTTTACGTCAAATGTTGCATAATTTACACAATAATGTAAATGAAGACTCGTTTATAAATTAATAAATATAAACGATTATTATAATATAAAATTTATATTATTATCTAATAAAGTCTAAAATTATTAGATAATAATTTTAAAAATATCATTGTATTTATTCTGTGTTTAAAATTATGATTTTATTAATGAAACCTTATATAATAAAAATTTAAATACAATAACAAACATTTAAAATTAATCGTTAAATGCTGTTTAAAACTTGTTTTACTCGATGTGTTAAATAAATGATTTCAAGCAAACACTACTTAAATTGAAAATAAATTATAAACGTAAACCCTTTAAGTGTAAACAATACACTACACCTTTATATATGAGTATACTTTAAATGTTTTAGAAATTTTCTGCTGTAATAGAGATTGTATTTTGCAATAAATTATTGTCTTCGAGAAGCAGAGGATTTGAGTCAATCCGATATTACTTTCAAATAAAATAATATAAAAATTGTTGAATATTTGTGTTTTCGTTGCTAATAATGTTGGGAAACAACAAATGTCTGCAAAGAATTATTCACACAACAAATGTAATGTAATAAAATTTAATGTGAAAAGGGATAATGGACAAATGTAGTTTTATTGCTTGTTTTGGGTAGGCCAAGTTTTAACATGTTGCCATTACCATGAGCTGGACATTTAGTATTTTATCGCCTCAATACAAATGGACACAACGACTTAAAATGATAAGTTATGTATTATTTGCGGTCAAAACGCCAACATTAGTATGAATGCAAATGACAAGCGCTAACAAGTGCTGCAATTCTCCTTTGATATCTCTTTGGTCGTCACAACTCACCAAATGTTTTAAATCACACAAAAACACAGAATTATTCGTTACACGAAAAATATATATTATTTACATTAAATCAATGAATACTATTATTTGCTATAATTTTTATGTGCATTTGATATAAATTTTATATTTTAAATATTTTTTGCTATTATATTATTCAAATTCACATAAGAATGATTATTATTTAAATAAAATTACATTTGGTATAAGTCATGAATGCAAATATCACTAAATATAGGAAATAATTATATTTTACACAAAAAGAAAGATTCAAAAACTGGAGGCGAATATAAGAGTGTAATGAATTGTGACCATCGCTTATACCAACCATTATATCGAGCAGTGAATGAAATGCTTAATGAATATTATATGATATAAAAATAACAATTGGGGCGTATATATAGCGTGGGCTTTAAATTATAAGTTATATAACATATAATATGTGTTCAAAAGTATTCGCCACCGAATACTATACCAGAATAAACGGAAGCACAGGTTTCCAGTTTTATTGTTCAATACCTGTATTATTATATTAAATAAATCATATTTTCTTCTCTTATATTGTTGTTACCTTTATATACATTTCTAGTAAAGTATTAAAATTAAATTATTAAATATAACATTGCATTTGGGAGATTTTGAACATGATTTATTATTAAATGGCTTAAGATATTAATTATGAATTAATTGAACAAATCTATGAAATGAGAAATTATATTAACAATAATTTACTAAATGCCACATAATATTAGGAAATTGTTTATAAGAAACGTATTATAATTGAGACAAAAGTAATCAATAATTTACATAAAAAACGAAATTACATTTTAATTATAAAACACTAATCATTTAAATTAATTTCACGCCTGAATTGTACCGTTTTTCATACCATTCTCTTCGACTGGTCTTTCGCCGATTTCGTAGGTCTTAAGTAAAAGAAAGGATTTGTTTTTGTGTAAATCAATTGTTTAGTCATTAAAGCCTTAAATAGTTAATAATTACTTTATAAGTCGGGTTATCGTAAGCGGATTCCGACGGCGCTCTAGTGATCGGCGCTTTCGCTGACGATTGCTTTCGGAGCAAAAAATATAAGACAACGACGAATGCGATTGCAGTGACCGCCGCGAACACCGACACAATGACCAGACAATAGAAATATCTTCCGTCCATTAGATCGCTTTCCCGAAGCGCTTCCGCCTCATTGGCTATTAAAGTGAAATGTTTTTATGAATAAATTATGTATAGCTTAGAAATCACTTGGAAAGGCATCGAAATGAATGTTTGATGCAAATGCTATCATATAATGAATAATAATAAAAGCGATGAAGTGGTGAACTGACCCGAAATGTCTATCTTATCGATGTTTGCCGACAGCGCTCTATCTTTTGTTGTGAATTCAATGGCATTTGATGAGACAGTCTTACCATTCGTTAAGTAGAGATCAATCCATGCTTTGTATCTATAAGTATAGATGAAAAGTGAGTAGGAATTGAGTGTTAATCCAATTTGTGTGAAAGGCATACCTTCTGTTAGGTTTGAGTCCATCCAAAACAATCCTTCCCTCTTCGTCCGGGTCTTTGAATGTGTGCAACAATTCCATACTATCTTCACTTCTGTACGATATCTTCACAACATTAATAAACTTATTGATAGGAAACGGCAGATCATTCATCTTGATTGTGGTGTACAGCGTGTCTACATTCACATCATTGGGATGTATTGTGACAGTTATGTCAAACAAGTCTTTCGGAGACGAAGGCATATCAATCACTATTGGTTTCGTAGATATGATATGCGTTTCAATATCAGGATTTGGCGTAAAGAGTAAGTCGACGGCATAAGACACTCCGGGCTCTAAATCCCTCAACATATAAGACCTGACATCTCTGTGCAGTATTGGTGTTGTCTTCCATTCGTTTTGATCCTTTTCGGCGTTTTTATAGCGAATCTGAATGCCGTCAATGAACTTCTTCTCCTGAGGACTGAATACTCTCCACGAAATTTTCAATGTCTTATAATCATTGGAGACGGCATTGAGCTGAACGTCAAGCATTATCATTGGCGGAACAGTTGTGGTTGAGGTGGTAGTGCTGGCAGTGGACGGGATTGGAGGCAAATATAGTTTGTAGACTTGGCTTTCGGGACCCGATTGGAGGGCTTCGATGATCACTTGTATTTGGAAGAAGTAAGTGGTGTCTGGACTCAGATTTCCCAAATGGTATTCAATGTTCGCGGTGTCAAAGAGTCGTTTGGGTCGCGCAAACTTCTGGATATTCCATTGAGATCGAGGTATATTCATGTCAGTGGTGTAGTGCAGCTCCGCGTGACCTATCAGTCCCACCAAAAGCGATGGCAGTGTGAAGCGGATCCGCGCGGACGTCGAGTTTATCGCCACAATATTCACGTGCTCTAAATCGCGGCCTATATTTTGGCATTTGTTTTTTAATAAGCAATTAGTTGTGTTCAGTCCATACAATAATTTATATTTGTTGTATATTTTAGATTTATTTAGTTCAGACACTAACTGGTATTGGAGTTGAGATATTGAAAAAATAATGTAATTATACAGCGATTTACAACTAATACCTGAATCTTTAGAGTCATTGCATATAACGTAAGGACAGAGTACGAGGGGATCGTCAGGTATGACAACAGTAGGATTGGGACAGTCGAGGGTCGGCTGTAAGAAGCGATCGGTTATTTGCGGACATCCTCCGGGATGGCACTGAACGTTAGGCAATCCATTGTTAATACTACACTGACAGCGCCTCTTAACCCCCTGTCCCTTCTCATCCCATTGTTCACCCAATTTATACCGCTTTCCATTGTGTGAGCAATGATTTGCTATCAGTGAATGAGAATTAAGTTTTAGTTAGATTTTTATTAGATATTGTTTTCCCTATTGTTTAATATTTTAGAAACTCTTTTTAGAGATAATTTAAACACAAGTTTTGTTGTGAATATCTATTTTATTAATCTAAACGGAATATGTATCTGGCATTTAAATATGTGGCACAAAAACACACTCTGTGTTATAGTTTTTCAGTTATTGCTAACAACTTATTGTAAATAATGGTTTCTATTAACGTTAGAAATGATTTTCATCTGTTTTTTCATTATATTTAGTCGATTGAGCGAACAATTGAATGCAAAGTTAAAAATAGCATAGAATTAAATATAAGTGAAGTTAACAGCAATATGTTTGGCGAACACTATTGAGAGTCAATCGAAATTCTTTCAACAAATTCTTTTGACAATTCAAATAAATAAATACAAAAACTGTTTTGACATTTAAATCGTATAAATAGTTTACTCATTCAATAGTTGAGTGAATTATCACAAGTTTATGCTTTTATACATGTATGTACTTTAATTTAGAATAAATTTGGTTTAAATTAATGAGATTTACCATTTAAATTATAAGAGGCATAGTTTTTCATATGATTTAACAAAATATCTATTTTTCTATTCAGGGATTTAAACATAAACTTATTCTGAATATATTAATTATAGCATTTTATATACTATGATAATGTATAACATTTAAAAGATATTACAACAAGTTTATCGAAATTCATTAAATTGAAGGTTTAGACCAAATTACTAATTAAATTACATAATAATAGAGATTTTAAATCGTTTAGTTTTTTAGTTTAAACTTAAAACAATTTTAAATTTTTAGATAATTCACACATATTTAAGATGATGTCAAATTAAATACACCATAAAAACCATCAAAACATTATTTCAATTATAATATATGATTATAATAATATATAATCATATTATAACTTATAATTTATAAGAATATTAATAATGAAACTCTATTTTGCCATTTGTAACAATAATTGCATTTTTCTATTGTCTTATGTGTTTAAACGTCAAACGAATGAAATTATATTTAATAATAGATGAAAACTAAACCAAAATGTATTTATTTTGGTTTATATTTATAACCATTTTATGGATCAGTTAAACGTATTGATTATATACAGCACTGAACTTGTAATAAATAAATTGAGTTCGTGTAATATTTATAGCTTTTCATATAACAATATAATGTGTTTGTGTTTTTGCTTACACATCATTACGTAAAATAAATTGAATGCTAATTAACGTCATAATTATTTAGGATTGATAGACAATAAAATAACAAATTAAGATCTTTGTTGATAAATATTTAAACGAATAATGAGGTTCTCTTAATTCACTATTGATGCTAACCTTTGTCCTCATATGAATTCATCTCTCTCTCTCTCTCTCTCTCTCTCTCTCTCTNAAAACTATGCCTCTTATAATTTAAATGGTAAATCTCATTAATTTAAACCAAATTTATTCTAAATTAAAGTACATATATGTATAAAAGCATAAATTAAACCGCAATTGCAATAAAAATAATCAAACATAAAACATGAGATAATAACCACAAAATAATTAATATCTTATAATTCAATAATAATTTCTTCTTAATGTTTATAAAGTTAAGAAACATAAATAAAATAAGACTCACTTGACTTCTCCTGTTCTCGACATAACCAATGGAGACAACAATTATCGCCTAAATATGTCATAAAAACAAATACAATGACACAATAATAGAGAGCCATAAAGTATGGATATAATGAAGTGATATAACTTGTATGACATACCGGGCAGATGACCCCTATAGGCGTGTGTTGTCGGACACGGCATATGTGGCGGTGGAATATCGGGTACTGAAGGGCAGCGGTTTTCGCAGTCAACTTTGCCTTTAAGACACACACATCTGGTGCCACACGGAAGCAGTTCCTGAGGAATGTGTTTAAAGTTTGGAAAACGAATTCCAGCGAAAGAACACGAGCCGTCTATAGGGTTTGGTTTGAATTGATTTCATTAATCAATAAAATAATAATGAATTCCAAATACCATTTTTGCATTTGGGTTTTGGACAACAATTGGGTGGAGTGGGTATGAAATGGGGGTCAATATCCCATTCGAGACAATCGGAGACGTGGGGCGCAAAATTGTGCGGACACTCTATGGCCGCACAGTTGAGTCGGGCGTCGTGTCCACAGTGACAGACCGCTCGACAATTGTCATAGATTTCCTCTCCAATTGCAATGTTTCTGCCTTTGAATTCACAAAATTGTTTGTTTTTCGGAGACGAAGGCTTTTCAGGTAAATCAAGTGCTATAATAAAGTCATGTATTTCTCAATTAAACATTTCAATTTATATTATATATTATTTATTTTGTTTTCAAAGCTAAACTTATGATTATGAGTTGGAAAATTATATGCATTTATAATTTTAATATTCAAATATAAATTAAAATCAAATGATACCCAAAATTACCATAATTTTAATATAGTCATGAAATATCTACTGACATATTATCAAAAACCATTGTTTGCTATTCTGTGTTACGTTATGTTGTCTTCAATTGGTCTGATAAATGATTCAAATGAAATGCTACAACAATTTCGTAATTGTTGTACTTTTTTGCTTCTTTTGTTTCAATTATTTACAGGCCATTAGTGTCTTAACCGAGTATTATATGGGAACTCAAGATTGAGATTTAATTTCGTATAAAATATTTACTCATTTATGATATAAACCGCTATAAAAGGGTTGCAATTTTGTTGTTGTGTTGAAGAGTAACTAAATTTCTAGCGTTGCGCCCAATTGTAAAACACCTACTATTCAGACAACACTATTTTAATGCCCACTTCTTCGCCAAAAATGTATTTTGATTGTTATATGAATTGTGTTGAGAAATCCCAATACTGTCGCCAATTGCGGCAGTGATTCACCAGAAATTATGCAATCAATGACTATAAATGATTGCGATCTGTAATTACGAAAGGATCTCAATACCGAAAATGTATCCCAAGTTCGTCCCAATTATAGGTATTTAGGTTTTGGGCAAATGTGTTGTTTCTTTGCATTAAATATTTTTATCGATATTAATCACTTAAATTAGCAATTAATGTACTCAATGTAATTTTGTTTTTTGATTTACTCAACTCGATCTTAATAAGTATGTAAATTATTATTCGCTCTTACATTTGCATAACTATCTCTACATTTAGTATTCATAATATGAATAATATATTATATTTGTGCAAACATTTTATGTTTTTATTTTATACCAATTTTTTCTGCTTTTCAGTCCTATGTTTAACGGAATTATCGTTTAATGAAATCGTTTTAAATCTGATTATATTTATATAAAACTTGTTTGGATTCTTATAAAAATAGGTATAACAAAGTAAAACAACATAAGTACTAATAATAGTGTTTTTATGGCACATACTATACATGCTATAAATTATTACTTAAACACAATGTTATTAAAACAGATATAAAAGTTGATTGAATGGCAAGAGAATGCATAAAAGCCATGAATTAATGAGAATCAAACTTACGGTTCATATTGTTATGACAGACCACATACGGACAAATGCACGGGTCGTCCGGCTGTACGATCTGAGGGCTCGGGCACTGCTCGCTGGGCTGTCTAGCACTGGCTGGTAGTGTAGCGCAACCACCTTTGCATTGTGCACTTGTAGTGCCATTTGGTAATAGAGTGCACTGACAGGTCTTTTTAAGACAATTGGCTCCGGTATCCCATGTCTGTCCGATTTTGTATGCCTTTCCGCCTTCGCTCATACAGAAGGGCTCGACGTCGGGATCTTCGGGTGTATTGTTTTTGTTGGATTTGTCACATATAGGAACAGTACAACAGGCGTCGTCCGGCGCCGGACCCCAATCGCAGTTCTCATAGCCAACCGCATCGATATAGACGGGACACCTCTCCTCACACTCTCGCAGTCCTCCCTCCCGACAGACACACTTGTACTCACACTCGCCCTCATAGAAGACTTGGCCCACTTCTATGGTTTGGTTGCCGTGAAAACAGCCGTTAAATGTGATGTCGATTCCGGGCGGATATGTCCGCACAAACACAGTATTACTTTGCGTTTGATTGAAAGCAATTCGCATCAAATAATCGGTTTGTATGGCCAGACCTCCGATGTCTACTTCGTAAATATCAGTAGCGATCACTTTAATAGCTTCCTCGTCAATACCCATTGTGAGCCACTCCCGGGAATCCATCTCTTTCTCTGATTCGGTTTCATTCATTGTGACGATACTATAGAGCAGTTTGAGTGCAGACCCGAGAATACCATTCTTTAGGGTCGGTATCATTACTCTCAGCTTAACTGATGTGGAATTGAAAGCTTCGGCCGAATCGATGATAATCTCTGGCTTATCATTGATGGTATCCTTCTTATCACAAACAGATATCTTACAGCACTCGGGATCGTCTGGATCTGCAACCAATCGACAGAAATTTTCATCATATCCCGGATCAATAGCACAGCGCGGTATGCATTGCACTCGACCTCCGCTCTCACAAAGACATTTCAGATGACAATCCATATAAAAAGATTCGCCTCTTTTATAAGTTTTATTGTCGTGAAGACAGACATCAAAATGTTTAGTGTTTGAGCTGTTATTATGCGAGCCATTAATGGTTTGATTTGCTTCTAAACCGGATGTCGTGTTTGCAGTTGTTTTGCAATTTAAGAGATTACAGCACTCGTCGTTGGGATCTTTGGCGAGAAGGCAATGACTGGGCACTGGATCTGTTGATTTGTGAGCACATCTCTCTTTGCACTCCACTTCCAGCGCTTCCGAACACAAACACGTTAGACAACTGTCGTTGAATGTCTGGCCCGGAAAGTAATGCACGCTTTTATATAAGCACATGAGCGCCGGGTTTCGCACACAGCCGTCGACCCGGTTGTCGGGATCGCCGCTATATCCGTGAAGACACCGACAAAGAGAACTATTGTCTTGGATTTGACAGAAGGCGTTCGGACCGCACGTCATGTTCTCGCAGGTCAACTGTTTTGGCACCGAATCGGCGCAAAGCCGTCCACCGCACGATGTCTTACAACATTTCTTGAGTCCAGTGCAGTGGTAATCATGAGTACAATCGTCGAGACATTTGTTGTCAACGTTTCCATCGATCCAAAGCGGGCAGTGATTGGGTTTACCGGTGAAGGCTTCGGTCGCTTCGTTAGAGCGACCCTCTAATGGCTCGTTCACACAGAGAACAGACGCACAGCAGTTGTCCTCAACCGATAGGGTTTCCTTACAATTGGCATCAGATTTGAAGGAACCGGTTGTGACCAGCGGTGGTACACATCTATAGGTAATGCACACAATAATTGCCGTCAAATATGTGATAAGTTTTAAACAATAGATAAAAGTTTACACATAAGTAATGGAAAAGCTTTAAAAAAAGATTAAAAACCTTTGAGTGCAGTGTTGGGTCGCATTAGGCCTACAAATACACCTGTGATTACATCCTTCGTGGAACTCCTCTCCCACAGCATATGAAGTATTGTTGACATAACAGCCGTCTTCTGTGGAGACGGCAATGATCTCTGAACCCAAACCCAATTTCTTGGCGTCCAAATCCTCCCAAACCAAGACTTGTATTTGATATGTTGTGAAGGGAATCAAGGATTTGATGGTAACAAAGGGAGTATTGTTTGCCTGAATTTGATGCCAGTGGAGGGTTGGCGGCGGTGGCAGTGGTGGTAGTGATGGATGTGTTTGGTGGTGAAGTGGTCTGTATTGCACGACATACCCGGACTCATAATTGGTAGGTTTGAAGTCATCGAAAGCGATGGTAATAGTGGTGCGGCTCTTGTGAGTCACTAAAACTTTTGGTAAGTTTTCATTGCATTCACTTTGGAAACAGTTTTTTGTATCAAAGTTTTCCTGACTATTGTTTGTGAGACTTGTGTTCACTGTAACGAATTGTTCACTTAAAGGCTGACCATTAAGTGTATCACTGGTCGTATTGATTGGTTGTATATGTGATGAGTTAATGGTAAGGCTATTGTCGGACGCAATGGTTAACGAACTGTTGAGTGCCGTAGAGTTGGAGAGCCGTAGAGTTAATGAACTGTTTGTCTGAAGCAATGAATTCGTCGATTCATTTGTAGCGTCTATTTGAGTGATTGTACTGACAGTACAAACACTGATCACAATTACTTTGATTGCTTCCGATAACAGCATTACTGATAGCTTCTTCATAATTGATACACAAAAGTTTGTAGTGTTTTCTCGCTTTGATTAATACATTGAATGGATATAAAAGTGAAATAAATTAAACGAAACTCAACAAAAAAGTCACTTTAAGAAGACTCTCGACGAGTCTTTGGACTCATATCCATATTGAGACTCCATTCATACAAATAAAAGGTGAGCACTGGTGGTAAAAAGTTGGTCCTTTCTCTGCTCACTTTAGTCCCTCCTTTTCGATGGGCTCTCACCTAAGAAACAGGTATTTTAAAAACAAGAATTCCCCTCAGGCTCTACAAAACACCGGTTCCTCTAATGCTCCATAACATAACATATACCCCCAAAACACGACTACACTATACTATTGTACACTTTATTATAGCCATCGAAATACAAGTCTCGAAGACATAGAGTGGGAGCAAAAAATACGGCCTAAGAGGCAAATGCAAGTGTTTTCTCACAATTACAACAATAATCATAACCTACTTATGGCAACCAATCGACTAACTATTCCAACCGTTTCAACACAACCATAACTTCATTACTTTAAATACAATCATTCACTCATTCACTGATATTTCAATCACAATCATCACACAAAATATATTTTGTAATATAGTATTTGGATTTGAATTTCATTAATATTAATATTCAATAAATCAATGGTTCAATGAATCGGTTTATAAATACAGTATTTATCATTTCATTCATTAAGAAGTTTTCATCCGCCGACTAAATGCAATGTTTCTCTCATTTTAGTACATCTCTTGGTCTATATATTTGGTAAACAAACTCATAATAATTGAAATGTATGTCCAAAAGTAATCTTGAAAGTGATTAAAACTGGATTAAAATATTATAGCATAACATAGTTATGAAAGATAATTTTGGTGTATTTATTTCACTCAAAAACAGATACACTGTGTGACCGCTTTTAAGCAATTATTTTTTTATAGAAATTGTCTTTAGTTTTATTATTGTTTTATTTATAACAATTCAGATATACTTTAAAGATTACGATTTGTTTTTTATTATTTATTTGATCTCAAAATTGGAATAAATCTTTTTAAAACCTATTTCTCTATAAACATAATCAACAAATAAAATTAAATTAAATTAATTCAACGAAAAAAGCATTGATTCAAAAACTAAATAAAACAAATAAAATAATTATTTTTTATTTTATTTTTTTTCCTAAAAAATGTTATCAAAAATTATTTTCAACTCGTTTTATGAATTGAATTGAACTTATATTTATGGAAAGAAATCTCATATCATTAGTTTAGTTTGAATTCCTGTTGAATCAGTTATTTTTGAAAATTAAAATTAATTGACATTAACTTCATATATACTGTATTTTATAGTTTATGAGAGAAATATTTGAGACGATATATTGAATGAATTCCTGATATAGTATTACAATCTATTTTAATGTGTTATTATTATTGAATTTTATATCAAATAAAAGGTTAAAAATATTTTTGATATTTTCCCATATAATAATAATATAATATTCTGTTATATTATATTATAAGAAACAGAAAAACAGTCTATTGTAGTGAACATATAGTGTACGGTATATTGAGAACAATGAATAATTAGATCCAATGGATAGCATCACTGAATAGATGTTTACTATGAATGCAACCAAAAACTGCTGAGTCTTTACTGTATTTTGAATGCTAAATATATAGTACTGTATGTAATAGTGAGACACAGAGTATATTATATAATACAAAATATTGTGTATTAAAGGTATGATTAATTTGTTTGACTCTAAACTTTAAGATTTTAAGTATTTTTTTGTTAATGATTTGCGAGAATATATAAACTCTTAATATAGTGTTTGCCGTCTCTTCTCTCTTCTTCTCGTAGTGTTTGAGACTCGATGTGAAGAAGAGATAAAAGCAATAAAAAATAGCTCACGAAATGTTGTGCTCATGATTTTGGATGCATCGCTACATCACGTTATTGTTAACAATCGTCTCTCTCTTTCTTTCTCTTCTAGTAATTACATTAAGAAATGGACTCTACTTTAGATGTAGTTATGTTTTTGCGAAACTTATTTGGATTTATGTCAGACCCTAACAGATATGGAGAGCTAAATATAGGTTCTGTGAATTGAATTAAACTTTTTAAACGTGTTGTAAATTTAAATATTTCTTAATCTAAATCTAAATTTTCACTCAATAATAGCATTAAAATACAATTCTATAATAGTTAACAATATTAGTTTAATGCACTGACAGGACATGGCATTTACAAAATGCACATTTAATTGCATGAAAGTAAATATGTATTGAATGACATTGCGATCGCAATCTTTGGATCCGATTGTTTTATTTCTTCTAACAACTAAATGACAGACAGCCAGTGATTTGCGCTATTTTTCAATCGCTAGACTATAATAATAAGTGTTGACTAAATCTAATATAATTTTGTTTATTAAACATTTAATATCCAAACACAACAACAAACAAACAAAAAACATTTGAACAATACGTCAAACATAGTATAGGAGATGATGTGTTTGCGTTGAGGACTAATCTGTATTCAAGACTAACTCATGAAGTGTAGTGAGAAGGAGGTGACACACATCCAACACATCCAACACTACCAACATTATTGCTCACACTTCAGGACCTAAATCTAAATCAAATAATCTTAATCGTAATACATATACAATCGACTCTACTATACATTAAACACAATAATGAAATGTAATTTACAACAAATACCAGTCAAACCTCATGAATTGGCTTTAAATATATTTTACCTCAAAATATCTCACAATATACTGTCATTCCATATAATTTGTATATTTAAATCAAATGTTGAAAAAATTGCTATAATTTCTCACTCTTGACACAAATCCATTGCTATATGAATGAGAATAATATTTGTGAATTATTCAACGAAAAGTACTTTAATTAATATTAACAATAAACATATTGTCTGATTGTGTGAATCATATATTATATAACTTCTATGGATATACAATATAATTGCAAAAATAAATCAATCATTATTTCTATTGTAGTGTTTGAGTCAAAATAATTTTATTAACACTAATCTAAACGCATTTAATGACTATAATTGCAAACTTCAAAAAACAAAAATCAATTATAACTTATATCGCGAACTAATTTATGGCAAACTTTACAAATGATTTACATATTTTTAATTAAAAAACATTATCTTCTTTTCTTCTGGAGTTCATTAATCCTGTTTTCGATCATTTGCTTGTATTCGACTGAGTCCTCCTCCCAGGGACGCGGACCACGAATATTCTTCCAGTTGTCTAAATCCGCAGTTTTAGTCATACTTTCGTACTCTTCTTCCAGTGATTTGGGCTTATTTTTGTCGAAACCCATCTCTTTGAGCAGTTCTGGAGTCACCTGTGGTTTCGATTATCATTTAGACAAACATCATATTTCATGCAATTCATGAATATCGCAATTTAATTACATTTCAACCTTTATATATGCCTTTCAATGAGATTTTAATTCAAACTAATATTTTAAATTCACTTCAAATATGTGATTAAAATGCAAGTATTGAGTCATTCTCTTAACTCTAATTAAAAAAGCATTTGAGAAATATTTTGCAAAATATTTTTTTTCCAAAACAACAATAATAATAATGAGAATTAATCTAAATATTGTTATCAAACAATTCAAGTCTTATTATTCAACGTTTAATTTAAAGATAAGTTTATTACTCTTTTGTTGTTAAAGAAAAAAATGTTTTACTTTTCATTTTAAATGTATTTTAAAACAATTAAATGAGATTTTATAACAAACAAAAGATTCATTAGTTAACAAATAAATTAATAATCAGAAAATGTTATGAAAATTACACAAAAATTTGTATAAATATTTCCTAAATTGCTATTAATTATATAAATTTTAATAAAATAATTTTTTGGGTCAAAATTAGATACAAAAATATAGTTTAAACTAAATTTACATTCATATGGAAATATATACCATTAATAATTGTGATAAGTATTGCGAAAACTTCATAAAAGATATCAAAAGTGATTCAAAAAAGAAAAATGATGTGAATTTCTCACACAAAACGTATTCACAAAGTGTTCAACATTTTTATGTTAATATCAGATGTAATTATTCTGTGCTTTCAATTCACTAACAATTCATTAAAAGTCGAGTTAAAGACACCCATTAGGAAGGGTTGGATGGCTTACCACTCATATACCGCTGCTATCAACAAAACAGTTAACTATAACTTATAAATAACTGTATAAAAAGTTTAAATCACTATTTAAGGCATATACAGTATAGTTAGAAATGTGGGAAACAGTGTCTGTGTTGGTCGGGAGGGGTTGTGATAAGACTTACACCAAATTGTTTGTTATGTCGACTGATTTCGTAGCGAACGGTTGAGAACTCCTTCAATGCAAAAGAGCCGCCCGTTATAAACAGCTGATCCACGCATTCATTACCATTGATTACACCATTAAAACAATTATTAATTAACAAAACAATCATTTAATATGCAAACCAAA